AAAGAGGAAGTTTTCAATGACCACTTTACAAAACAACATTTTCATATGTAAGCTTATTTAACTTAGTAGCATTCAGTAGTTGACGTGGATCCAAAGTGTCTCCTAAGGAGGTCTGGATGGATAGGAAAAGCAGTCCCTTGAAGTCCTAGACTGTATGGACAACCTTGCTGCTCAGCTCTCCATCCCCACCACTTCTCACATCAGCCAGCGTGACTTGCATCACTTTTAATTACATCAGACTTCTCCACTGACATCTGCAGGTGGATGTTACAGCCCCTTTCCACCAGCTGCTGCCTCCTTCTCTGAGAAAAGTAGATGCAAACAGTTTTTTCTTGTTATGTATGTGTGTGTCTTTGCTATTAATACTTAACAAAAAAATACAGCAAAGAAACACATGTTAAAAAAAAAAAAAAGTAAAAGAAGTCCACAGCAATGAGCCATTTCCAAGTTGAACCATGCACAGGGGATAAGCGTACAGAAAAACATCTGACCCAAATAGATGGGAAATGGTAAATGAGAAATACAGCTACAGAGTTGTCTACATGGATGATGAGAGAGGCTACCAAAGGACAGGCAAGTTGAATTCCCCTCAAGTCCCAAGAAGCAACTCGATTTATCAGAAGGATCTGAATGACCAAAGAGCAAGTGGAAGAAAACTCTGCAGAACAACAGAAACTGCACATGTCCAGATAGTCTGCTGGAAAGGTGACTTCTGATATGGTCTCTTTAATCAGACCAGCTGGAAATACCTGAAAGTCCTGCCAGACCAGCGTCATCTCCTTCTATGACCAGTGACCTGCCTGGGGGATGAGGGAAAGCCCGTTGATGTAGTCTACCTAGCCTTCAGCAAGGCCTTTGACACAGTCTCCCACAGTATTCTCCTGGAGAAGCTGGCAGCCCATGGCTTGGACAGGTACACTCTATGCTGGGTTAAAAGCTGGCTGGATGGCCAGGCCCAGAGAGTAGTGGTGAATGAAGTGAAATCCAGCTGACGAGCGGTCACCAGTGGTGTTCCCCAAGGGTTGGTGTTGGGGCCCATCGTCTTTAATATCTTTATGGATGTTTTGGATGTGGGAATTGAGTGCGCCCTCAGTAAGTTTGCAGATGACACCAAGTTGGGGGGAAGTGTCAAACTGCCAGAGGGTAGGAAGGCCCAGTAGAGGGACCTGGACAGGTTGGTTCAATGGGCAGAGGCCAATGGGATGAGGTTCACCATGGCTAAGTGCCAGGTCCTGCCCTTTGCTCACAATAACTCCAATGCAAGGCTACTGGCTTGGGGCAGAGTGGCTCAAAAGCTGTGCAGAGGAAAGGGACCTGGGGGTGTGGTCAAAGCTTGCCTGAACATGAGCTGTCAGTGTGCCAAGGTAGCCAAAAAGGCCAGCAGCATCCTGGCTTGTATCAGTAGTGTAGCCAGCAGGACCAGGGAGATGTTCATCCCCCTGTACTCTACTCTGGTGAGGCCGTACCTCATGTACTCTGTTTAGTTTTCAGCCCCTCACTTCCAGAAGGACATCCAGGTGCTGGAGTGTGTCCAGAGAAGGGCTACAAACCTGGTGAAGGGCCTGGAAAGCAAGTGCTATGAGGAGCAGCTGAGGGAACTGAGGTTGTTTAGTCTGGTGAAGAGGAGGCTCAGTGGAGACCTTGTTGCTCTCTACAGTTACCTGAAAGGAAGTGGTGGGGAGCTGAGTGTTGGCCTCTTCTTACAGGAAACTAGTGATAGGACTAGAGGGAAGGGCCTCAAATTTTACTGGGGGTGGGGTTAGGTTAGAAATTAGGAGACATTTCTTCTCAGAAAGAGTAGTCAGGCATTGGGATGTCCCTGGAGGTGTTTAAGGAAAAGCTGGACATGGTGCTTAGGAACACGGTTTACTGGGTGACATTGGCAGTAGGGCAACAGTTGGACCAGCTGATCTTGGAGGCATTTTCCAACCTTGACTTATGATTCTATGATTCTCTGATGGGGAAGATGAAAGGCGGTGCTCAAGAGACAGAGTTCTGGCAATGCGACTACAGGGGAAGATCAGTATTTTTTCTCATGCTGTAATAATCATCATATGATCATTTTGATTTCATGGGGCACCTCAAATGTTGTATTAGAAGTGTTCGATCATTTCAGCTAATTGAAGTGAAATTTTTGAAATTCTTAAAAAAAATATAGTCAATCTTCAGTTTTACACCAATAAAATGACAATTTTCTGTTGTGCATGGAGCCCTGATGTGACAAAACCCTCCCTGCCCAACCCTTGCTGATGGGCAGAGGAGCAGGGGCACCTTGCAGAGGAGTTGTAGTTGAGGAGCCAGGGTGGGCATCCCTTGTCCTGAGCTGAGGGCCGGCAGCATGAAGGGTTCCTGGAGAGTGACCATTACTTCCACCCTTACTGCCATGTTCTCAGGGCTCCTGCAGCTCTCCTCGAAAGGTAAGGATGTCGGGAGCTCCTTCTCAAGGGGTGACACAGGGGCTGTCAGCTGTCCAAAGATGCAAGTCCTGGGCTGTGGGGGAGGCTGGACAGGGCTGGTGGCTGCTGTGGGAGCCCAGCCTGAGAGTCCCGCTGGACTTAAGGAACAATGCGACAGTCAGGACTCCTGGGTCCTCATGCTAGGGCTGTCCTGAGCCCGAGGGCTTGTCTGGGCATGGCTCAATGTATCCTCATGATGGGGGACAAATCAGGGTCAGGTTTCCCTGGGAGCTGGTGCATCTTTGGGATCTGGATCTTGGTGGAAAGTTGTCTAGTGTCTCAGAGACTGGTGTGGCTTGCAGCTCCCACAGGCCTCTCGGAAGTGTGCCAGAAACCCTTCCCCTTGTACTGCTCTCCTTCAGGGGAACTCTGTTCCTTGGGTGACGAGACACTGGAGAACAGCCCTGCAGAGAGGGATCTGGGGGTTTTGGTTGATAGCAAGCTGAATATGAGCCAGTAGTGTGCCCTGGCAGCCAGGAGGGCCAACCATATCCTGGGGTGCATCAAGCATGGCATTGCTAGTCAGTTGAGGGAGGTGATTGTCCCACTCTACCTTGCACTGTTGGGGCCTCACCTTGAGTAGTGGAGGGGAAGTGGTGGAGTCACCATCCCTGGAAGTCTTTAAAAGACATTTAGATGTAGAGCTTAGGGATATGATTTAGTGGGGACTGTTAGTGTTAGGTCAGAAGTTGGACTCGATGATCTTGAGGTCTCTTCCAACTTAGAAATTCTGTGATTCTGTGATTCTGTGATCCTTATGAGTCCTGCCCAACTTGGGATATACTATGATTCTATGATTTTTGCACCAACTCCCACCTCCCTTCCTCTGACATCTGGCTGCACATAGTTTTTTGTTGTTATTTTTGTGTGTGGGTGTCTTTTTCTTTTAATATTTACAAAAAATGTATATTAAAAATAAACAAACACCAACAAAAATAAAAGAAGCAACCAAACAAAAACCACAGTCCACACCTGTGAGTCAACTCTAACTTGCCTCCAATGAGGTGCACCATCCACAAGGGATGACTGTACAATAAATTTTTGACACAGATATAAGAAATGGTAAAAGAGAAATATAGAATTGGCTACAGGGATGATGAAAGGGACTACTGAAATACAGGCAAGCTCAACCTCCTCGAAATCCCTAGAAGCAACTGTGTGTATGAGAAGTATCTGAATGACCAAAGAGCAAGAGCAAGTGGAGGGGAACTCTGCAGAAGAGCGGAAAATGCACGTGCACACACTCTGCTGGAAAGGTGATTTCCAGCATGGGCTGTTTCATAAGGCCAGATGGAAATACCTCAAAGACTGAGGAGATGAAGTGCAGTGCAGTGCAGGGGAAGATATATATATACATACATATATGTACATATCCGTATTATCTGCCTTTCTTGGTGGGAATATTCACATCTTTCTGTCTGTATAGTGAAAAATATTTGTGTAGCTACAGCTGTAACTACAGCTATATGTGCAAGTAAAGGTAAATGTATATGCAGAGTTACACGTGTACACATAGATAACTGGGAGAGAGACGGGCAAGTGTCTGGGATTCTAGGATTTTACATCACCTGAACTATCAGGAAACCAACCCAGCAGTGCTGGGAGCTGGGGAGAGGGGACATGTGGAGGAAGGTCCCAGTGACACGGCTGGGAGGTGGGTTGTGCTGCCATTCCTACTGCAGTGACCTGACTGCCTGGTGGCAGGCAGGCAGACACGGCGATGTCATTGAGTGCATCACAAACCCCATGGGACATAGGGGGCACCTCAGGCAGGGGACAGCTCTGTTGAGCCACCATGGCTGGGCTGCTGCTGCTGAGGTCACCTCCTCACAACACTGTGATGGGCCAGGAGCAGGCAGGCCTCAGGAGGCCATCAAGAGCAGCAGCTGTGGAAGCTGCAGGCAGGTGCCTGGGCCCCTGGGGAGGGCTGCCCTGCAGTGATGCCAGCTGGACATGGGGTGGGAGCCTGTGGGACAAGGCCTGGGAAAGTGCTGGATATGACAGAGCACAGTGTGAGAAGGGAGAGAGTACAGGCAGGGCTGTGAGGGACAGCAGCACTTCATGTGCCCTTGGTGGGCAGAGATGTGAGCAATGGTCAAACGCCCATTCCAGCCTTTCCCAGCTTCCCCCCAATTCTCCGAACTCCCTGCTCTCTGCCCACCTCCCTGCCCTCATCCCAGCCCAGCCCAGCAGCCCAGGCTGGGGTGACCCCAAGACAGTGCTCACCACAGGTTGCTGCAGGGCTCTGGGCACTGCCACCACAGCCACAGCCCCTCTGAAGGCCACAGCAGCTCCTGGGGCACAGAGGGCTCAGCGCCACAGAGGGGAGCATCCGAGGCAGAAGCATACAGAGGTCAGTGTCCCCTGCTGTGTCCCCTGCTCTCTTCAGCAGCGGATCCTCAGAGGCCTGCAGCCCCTCCGTGCCATCCCTGGGGTTTCTTAGGCAGCTCCTGCTGCATCAGGGCCAGGGCATCCTGCCCCAAGCTGCTGCAGCCAGAAAGGGTTTGCTCGTCCCATTACTTCCTGATCAGCTGAGAGTGTGTCTCAGACAAAGAAGTTGTGGCTTCATTTATTTTGTTTAAATACACAGAGAGTCTGGCTCCTCGTTTATGCAAAGCCTCAGGGTTACAAAAGATATGTTGGTACAAGGGGATGAAGAACAGCATTTCTTTGTGGAAAACAATATCACAAGGGAAAATGAAAAAACAAATCAAATCCATCCAGAAGTTAAGACAGCTTGCCCTATCATTACATAAACTCTAATTCATCTGAGGAAGAAGAAAAGAAGCAGTTTATAGCTGAGGAAAGGTCCAGTCAGTTTCCTCGGCACATCCTTAAATATCTCCATGAAATCACTTTCCTAATGGCATTCCTGAGCTCCCGGTTCCGCATGCTGTAGATGAGGGTGTTCACTGCTGGGGGCATCACCGAGTACAGGACAGTCAACACCAGGTTCAGGGATGTCAAGGAGATGGAGGGGGGCTTCAGGTAGGCAAACATGCCTGTGCTAAGAAACAGGAAGACCACAGCCAGGTGAGGGAGGCATGTGGAAAAGGTTTTGTGCTGTCCCTGCTCAGAGGGAATCCTCAGCACAGCCCTGAAAATTTGCACATAGGAAAAAAGAATGAAAACAAAACACCCCAGAAAGAGAAAACCACTAAATGTGAGAAGCCCAATTTCCCTGAGGTAGGAGTCTGAGCAGGAGAGCTTGAGGATGGAGGGGATTTCACAGAAGAACTGGTCCACAGCATTGCCTTGGCAGAGGGGCAGGGAAAATGTATTGGCAGTGTGCAGCACAGCATAGAGAACCCCACTGCCCCAGGCAGCTGCTGCCATCTGGGCACAAGCTCTGCTGCCCAGGAGGCTTCCGTAGTGCAGGGGTTTGCAGATGGCAACGTAGCGGTCATAGGACATGACAGTGAGAACATAATACTCTGTTGACAGTAAAAAGAAGAAGAAAAAGACCTGTGCAACACATCCTGAGTATGAAATGGTGCTCATGTCCCAGAGGGCCATGGCTTTGGGCAGAGTGGTGGAGATGCAGCCCAGGTCAAGGAGGGCGAGGTTGAGGAGGAAGAAGTACATGGGGGTGTGGAGGTGGTGGTCATAGGCTATGGCGGTGAGGATGAGGCCGTTGCCCAGGAGGGCAGCCAGGTAGATGCCCAGGAAGAGCGCAAAGTGCAGGAGCTGCAGCTCCCGTGTGTCTGCAAATGCCAGGAGGAGGAACCCGGTAATAGAGCTGCTGTTGGACATCTGATCCTCCTGGAAATAGGAATCTGCTCCTCTAGATAGGGAGGCCTGTTCAAGGAGGAAAGAGAATTGAAATGTTAGGGTGGACCTCTGTGAGGTAAACCTAGCCTATTGTTTTGTAGAAACCATAAAAAACTGCCTCTGCTTTTGGGAAGACTGGTCCTCTACTTGATCTCAAAGTGATGCTGCCTGATGGTTCTATGGGGGACAAGAGACTCTGCAGCAGACAAGTCTGTACTAGAACAGTAAGTAAATGGAACATGAGGTGGTCTCAAATGAACTGTGTTTGATGTAAAAAGGAGTTTTGGAGCATTTTTCTCAAAATTCATGCAACTGCAGAGCAGGGCTTTGTGCATAATGCTTTGGTTTTGTAAGGAATGTTTTAACAATTTGTGTCAATAGAGAGCTATTCGTATTTGTATGTTCTTTCTTTGAAGTCTCTGATGTCTGGGGGTTTCAGAACAACTGTTAACAACTAGTAACTGTTATGACTTCTGAATGGGACACTGTGCAAGCCCCTGATATCTGGCCAGGAGATTAAGGAGAAGAGAGAAGCTGAAGGACGGCTAGGAGACAAAACTTGCAGGAGACGCTGTGTAAGCTTTTGACATGCAGCCAAGGAGTACAAAGGGGAAGGACAAGAAAAAAAAAACTGAGAGGAAGACTATGAGCCTTCAGCATGAAAGACCCCCAGAGGCAAGTGTAAAGTAACAAACAAAAGCACTATGCACAAAGCCCTGCTCTGCAGTTGTAACTTGCAGTTGTACACTTGCCCCCGCCCTACACCTGAGGAGTGTATTTAAGGCACAAATGCTTGGCGCTTGTACTGCTCACCAAGTAAAATCTTGGGGTCCTGCAAGGCAAAGGGACTGTCCCTCAGGGCAGAGTGAGAACAGCTGAGGTATCCGTCAGTCCTATTCCCAGCTGCCCTGTGCGGGCACCTCTGGAGGATGGTCACAATCAGGTGTTTCCCTGAAAAGAACCTGGATGCTGCTGAGAGCAGAGGAATCCAGGTTCAAAGTGCAGATCTCTTAACCCCTCACCCATCTCATCATACCTGAGGAGGATCTCAGCTCTCTGCTCTTCATGACTGTCACAGAGAGATCATAGCAGCTGCCCATATACAATGATTCAGCGGCATTTGTATGGCCTTAGGACTGCCTTGTCTTCTCCATGGGGCTGCTAGATAACACAGAACTGCTAGGGCAGAGCTGTGCTCTTGTGGAGGGCAGCCTGCAGCCCAGCAGAAGCCCCATGCAAAGAGTTAAATTTCCTTAGATTGATGTCCTGAAAGCAGAGTCAGCTTCTTCTCCACACACAGCATTTCCCCCAAGACCCAAGAGTTAGGAGGGAACATGGATGCCTTTTATTCATGGACGTATCTGAGAGAACATCATCATCAGTTTTTGATCTGTATCTGAATTCTCATCCCCAAAACTCTAGTGAGTCCAAAGAAACTCATGACATTATTGTTAGATGAGAAAAAAAGCCAAAGAGTTTTTATGGGGAAGGCATCAGCAGGGCACGGATGGTAGGGAAGTGCCCCCCACCTCCTGCCTGCAGCTCACAGCCCCCATCCCATCCGCTGGGTGCTCAGCTCTGCCCTGCAGACACCTCCTGGCAGCAGGGCTCTGCCCAGGGGCAGCTCGCTAGCTCCGGGTCACACAGACCCTTTTGGCACTGCCCATGTGGTGGCGAAGCTTATTATGAGCAGTTGGATAGGAAGGGGACTTGTGCAGTCCATGTAATGCTATTTTTGAAGGCTGAGGAGACTCAGATTTCTCTTGGAAATAGCAGAGTCTATTTCTACTCCCACTAAGCCAAAGAAGAAAAAAAGATGAAAGCAGTAACGCAGGAAAGCTGAGCCTGAAGCAGCTAACACCTGCCCTGACTCTCCTCTTGCAAAGTCCCCTCGGAAACCACTGGTGGTGCTGTGGAGCTGTGAGCAGCCTGCCACAGGCAGAGCAGTCTACCACAGGAACCGGACTTGCTGGGGGTCCATGTAACCCTCCTCGTGTTGTCTTAGGACTGCAAGTCTCTCCTTGGCTTAGGACTCTCAGAATCTCCTTGGAAATATCAGATCTATTGCTCTTATCACTGAGCCAAAGAAAAGAAAACTGAAAGCTCAAAAGGCTCAGGAAATCTGAGAGTGAAGCCAAAAACCCCTCTCTCATCCTTATTCTTGCAATATCCTCTAGGATACACCCTGGTTGTGCTGTGGAGCTGTGAGCAGGCTGCCCCAGGAAGCAGCCTCCCACCAGCAGCAGGACCCTGCCCTGCCAGGGGGGGCTTCTTCCACCCGCAGCTTCTCCCCGCAGCGCCCTGGGCAGCTCCCCGGGCAGGCTGAGTGCTGAGCCTGGCAGGCGGCAGAGGCCCTGCCCCGCCACACAGCCCCTGGGCCACAGCAGGGACCCTGCTCTGCACCACAGCCCTGGACACCCCTGCCTGCACCCCCGGCTTCTCCTGCCTCCACGAACTGCGGCTGCATTGCCCTCCAGCCAGAGACTTAGTGGCTGCAGGGCTGGGAAGTCTTCTCCCCCGGTGAGCTCTGGGCATGCTGCCACTTCTGCCTGCCTTTAAGCACTGTGTCTCTGCAGGTAGTGCCCCCAGCCCTGCTGCGCTGTGCAGAGGAGCTGCTCCTGGGCAGAGCTGTCTCTCTGCAGCGCTGCCCGCTTGCCAGGAGCTCCCCTTGGGCCCAGGAGCCCGGCCCAGCTCAGCAGCAGAGGCCCAGCCCAAGGCCTCCCTTGCTCTGCCCCCCACCAGGCTCCCTGCACACGGCCCTGGGGCTGCAGGGGAACCTGCTGGCAAACAGCCTGAAGGAATCCCTGGGCTTCCCTCCCTCCCCTGGGCAGACACATTTCTTGACAGCAGAATCACTTCTCCTAAAATAAAAATAAAGTTAATAAAAATCTGTATAAGATTCACCTTCCTTTGTCCTGTCCACGGAATTGGCAGCAGGCTGGGAGGGCCCTTGTGGGTGAAGGTCAGAGGAGAGCCAGTCAGGGGCACAGCATGATCATGCTGAATGGGTGCAGCTTCTTCAGAAGAGACAATTGGGCATGATCCAATTCTTCACATGGAGAGGTTGCTCCATGTGAAGAATCTGTCTGGATGCATGGATCTCTTCTATGGACTGGGCAGCAGACTGGGGGAGCCCTTATGGTTTAGGGCCTAAAGCCAGTCAGGGTGACAGCATGGCAGGAGGTAAATGTCTGCAGCCAGGCTGAAGAAGTGGGCAAAGTCTTGTGGAAAGCATTGGAGTAAGTTAAGTTCAATGACTCCATGTCACTGTGAGGGACTTTATTCACTCTGCCAACCACAGGAAAGGGACACTGCAGGGTTCAAACATTCCCCATGGTTTCTATGGGTTCTTACAGAGAGCTTCTGTGCACAGCTGCCAGATGGGCCAACCTAGGTGATGTTCACCAGGATCTGGCACTTGCAAACAGGAAAACTTGTGTCTTGACACTCCTCATGCACAAGGCATGATGTAGTCCAGCTGCTTTTCAGCACATGGAAAGAGATGAGGTTTAGGGGACAGACCTATACCCAGCATTGCACAGGCTCAGCCTTATGTTTCCCTGCAGCCCACTTGACATGGTCCAGCTGACACGGGACCAGGTACATGTGTGTGCAGTACGGTCAGGGGCTGTAGTCCTGCCTTCAGCATGCCACAGGTCTCCAGAAATGAGAGAGTTTAGATCCTAAATCAGGATGGGTTCCTCCTCCATTGTGGACACAGACACAAGTGGTCTCCTGCAGGCAGATCTGGCAGCCAAGCTGCAAGGGGCAGGCTGCCCCCCCACCTCAGCCTCTTCTGTGGTCTCCACCTCCTCTGAAGGTCCAAAGCCGTGGGCCATGGGGAGGCTGTGGCAGCCTACAGGGGAGCATGGCATCCATCCTAGACCATTCTCCCCACTCCCCTTTTTGTCTTCAGCGCTGCCCTACTCCTCTCTCTCATCATGACATGTTGAGGGTACGGCTGCCCTTCCCTCGTGTACCACCTCTGCCTCCTGCATGGCAGACTGGGGGATGGTGCCGAGGCCCTGGCATGTACTCCAATTCACCCATCCTTCTTTCAGAAGTGAGTTACATGCAGTGAAGAGTTCAGGCACACCGAGGTGCTGTTCCATCCCAGGTGCCTTTGCTCCCATCTTTTGAAAAAGCCAAGCCCCAGGACAAGCCTCAAACCCAACCAGTGTGGGAGGGCTCCCAACAGCAGAAGCATGTTGGTAAAAGGGGGCAGTAGTGGTATCTCCAGGGCTCCACTGCCTTTATTCCATGGCCTTTGCCACCATTTGGAGATGTCCCTGATCTGTTCCTGATCCCGAAAAGAACTGGGCAGAAGGGAAGTGCATCTCTTATCTCTCTCCTGAGCTGTGCCATCTCCATGCTGCTGACCTCACAGGCCTTCAAATGTCACAGGCTGATGTCACAGAGGGGGCACTGCATCACCAGGATATCGTCACTGGAACAGCGGCAGTGCCGGCACTTCCCTGCAAGGCCTGGTCCCTGCTGGGCACTGCTTGGGTGCTCCCCAGCGCTGTCCTTCTGTGGCCAGGAGTGGGGTCAGCAGGCAGCAAGCTTGCACTGGGCGACCCTCACTGACAGGCGGAGGAGCAGGGGCACCTTGCAGAGGAGCTGAGGTTGAGGAGCCAAGGCGGGCATCCCTTGTCCTGAGCTGAGGGCCAGCAGCAAGTGAGATGGAGGGCTGCTGGAGGGTGACCATCACCTCTGGCCTTACTTCCCTGTTTCCAGTGCTCTTTCAGCTCTCCTCCAA